AGCTATCAATTTTATTTTTTTGAGACAGTCTTGCTCTGTCACCCCAAGTAGAGTACAGTGGTGTCATCATAGCTCACAGCAACCTCAAACTCTTGGGCTCAAGTGATTCTCTTGCCTAACCCTCCCTAGTAGTTAGGACTATAGGTGCCCACCACAATGCCTGGCTATTTTTTTTGTTTGTTTAGCATGTCCGGGCGAGGTTCTAACCTACCAGCCCTAGAGCATGTGGTTGGCACCCTAACCACTGAGCAACAGGCACTCAGCATGGCTAATTTTCCTTTTCCTTTTTTTTTTTTTTTTTTGAGACAGAGTTCCACTTCTTTGTTTTTGGTACAGTGCCATGGTATCATAGCTCACAGCAACCTCAAACTCTTGGGCTCGAGATCATCTTGCCTCAGCCTCCTGAGTAGCTGGGACTATAGACGTTCACCACAACACCCGGCTATTTGTTTTTAGAGACAGGCTCACTCTTGCTCAGGCTGGTCTCAAACTTATGAGCTCAAGCAATCTACCCACTTTGCCTTCCCGAGTGCTAGGATTATAGGTGTGAGCCATCTTGCCTGACCTACACAATTCTTTTTAGCAAAAGATCCTATTGAAAGTGTATGTATAAAGAAAACAACGGAGTGTGAAACTTGACAATTGGCTCAAGCCAATCCTCAATGAGCTGATCACAGACACCTTGGTAAAAGCTGAAAACAATTTTAAATAGTTTTAATTTTAAAATTATGTTTTATGTTTGCAACTTTAAAAATTGAAGTAGCTTTCTAGTTAAATGTGTTAGATTGAACACATGTATTTGGTTCCTATCACCTCCCACAATTGTCAGTAAATGAATATTTTTAAAAAGCATAATGGACTTACACTTTAGTCCATGATGAAGTAGTAGGGGCTACATTTATCTTGCTACTGTGAACAACTAGAAATTAGAGAAAATGTATGAAACAGCTGTACTCTGATATTGAAAGAGAGGTAGTATAAGATTGTGATGCCTGAACAAAGAAAAACAAATGAGGTGAGTGCTATTATCACCTAGTTTCTGTCTGGAGGCACTTCTCAGACCTTGGAGTAAGGAGGGAGATCCCAAGCAGAGCACAGTGGTTTCACTGAATTGGAAAGAGAAAGAGAGAGAAAGAGAGAGAGAGAGAGAGAGAGAGAGATAGATAGATAGATATTGGAAGGAGGCTAAGGCAGCTGCAAGATGCAAAAAATAAAAAATAAAAGAAATCCAAACAAGGGAGAGATATGCAGAAAAAGAGCTCTAGAAATCTGCACTGAGATCTCCTTAACCTTTTTGGGAATGCTAGGAAATAATACTAAAAAGAAACAATGGGTGCAGTGCCTCATGCCTGTAATCCTACCACTCTAGGACACCTAGGCAGGAGGATTGACTGAGTTAGGGAGTTTGAGACCAGCTGAGTAAAAGCAGGATGCTGTCTCTACTAAAAATAGAAAAAATTAGCAAGGAATTGTGGCACACATGTACAGTCCCAGATATTCTGGAGGCTGAGGCAGGAGGATTGCTTAAGACCAAGAGTTTGAGGTTGCAATGAGTTATGATGTCATTGCCCTCTAGCTCAGGTGACCAAGCAAGAATCAAAAGAAAAAAAAAAAAAGAAACAATGCTGAACATTATTTTAAATTTGATGAAAATGCTAAGACAAAGACTGAAGAGGATTAATGAATACACCCAGACTCATGCCAAAGCACATAAATTGCTGAAAAGCAATTATAAAGAGAAAAATCTTAAGAGGAGCCAAAGGGAGAAAAGAGACAGAAAAACAATAAGAATGTACAGGACAGGCTCGGTGCCTGTGGCTCAAGTGGCTAAGGCGCCAGCCACATACACACAAGGTGGCGGGTTCGAATCCCCAGCCTGGGCCTGCCAAATAACAATGATGGCTGCAACCAGAAAATGGCCGGGGGTTGTGGCAGGCGCCTGTA